ATGGAAATTGTAAAAAGTATCCTGACAATAAACTCAATAAATCATAATAAACATTTCAGGGTATCCTTAACATGTGGTTCTCTGAAAACACAGCACTTGATGGTTGCATTTTCTTCTTTTGACACAGAAATCATCCTGCATACAAACTAGACTGGCATTTTGTGATGAAAAAGGTAAAGAGGGCTGTCTCTAGACCCTAAATAGCTATATTAAAAATAAAAGGCCAATAAAATAAACTGAAAGAAAGTTTGGTCTAATTTTAGTTAGACTGTATAGACTATATCATAATAAATAGGTCAAAAAGCCAACAAACCACTGAAGTCTGTCTAACTACTTGTGCATATGGGACAGCTGTTGGTTGACTGTGAACATGATGTGCTGCTGTTTGATGTTGAGTTGCCCCTAGCAACCATGGGGGTGGGGGTTGTTTAGGATCATACTGATAATACGATCCATCTGGATTTCTGTAAGGTGACACTACAAAACATACATGATTAGATTAAAGTAAATCTATTCTAATATTAATCATTTTGAAGATATAAATATTTTGAATCTTGTAATGTTGAAGACATAAATATATTGAAAATATTATAATGTTCAAGATATTAATATTTTAAAATATCACAATGTTTAAGATATTAATATTTTAAAATATCACAATGTTTAAGATATTAATATTTTAAATTATTCCAAAGTTCAAGATATCAATATTTTAAAATATCACAATGTTTAAGATATTAATATTTTAAATTATTCTGAAGTTCAAGATATTAATATTTCAAAATATCACAATGTTTAAAATATTAATACATTAAATATATTCCTAAGTTTAAGATATTAATATTTTAAGATATCACAATGTTTAAGATATTAATATGTTAAAAATATCATAATGTTTAAGATATTAATATTTTAAATTATTCCAAAGTTCAAGATATCAATATTTTAAAATATCACAATGTTTAAGATATTAATATCTTAAATCATTCCGAAGTTCAAGATATTAATATTTCAAGATATCACAATGGTTAAGATATTAATTTATTTAATATATTCCTCTGTTCAAGATATTAATATTTTAAGATATCACAATGTTTAAGATATTAATATATTAAATATATTCCCAAGTTCAAGATATTCATATTTTAAAATATCACAATGTTTAAGATATTAATATTTTAAATTATTCCAAAGTTCAAGATATCAATATTTTAAAATATCACAATGTTTAAGATATTAATATTTTAAATTATTCCAAAGTTCAAGATATTAATATTTTAAAATATCACAATGTTTAAGATATTAATATTTTAAATTATTCCAAAGTTCAAGATATCAATATTTTAAAATATCACAATGTTTAAGATATTAATATATTAAATATATTATGTTCAAGATAATAAATATTATCAAAAATATTATCATGTTTAAGATATCAATATGTTCAAAGTATTCCTATGTTCAAGATATTAAATATATGAAATATCATAATGTTTATGCATAAAATTCAACAAATTTTTGTCAAAAATAACCTTAAAAGTGTGTAACAAACATTGATTGTATTTGCTCTAGTCCAACTGAATTTTGTAGGAGTGAAGATTTAAATAGTAATATAATACTTACTAGTATGGGGATCGATCATAACACTACCAGGTGGTATTGACCGTACATCAGGTGGAGCTATGATTAATGGTAATGATGGACCTGATAAAAAAAAAATATTGTTGATAACATTTATATTGGTATGATTGAATATTTTCCTTTTGAATCACCATTTTAAGAGACTAGATTTTAAGAATATTACAACTTCATCGTATACCTTGACTGCAATAGCCACTTTACTCGTATCACGTAGCAATTTGGTTTGGTTGTAGGCAGAGAATACAGCTAATCAGAGCCCAATATGCTGTATTTCCTGGTACACAATCCAATCTTGATTGCTATATTCTTGAGACAAGAATAATGGCTATTATTCAAGGTATAAGACAAAGTCAGCCTGACATGGTCAAGATGAAACTTACCTGACTGTACAGGCAACTGCATCGGACCGGCCGAACAAGTGGGTGATGTATCTCCATAATATGAAGGTGGGGTAGGTACTGCATTTGGTGGTCGTAGGACAGAACTATCAAAACTACCACCATGTGAAGTTAAAGATTCTGCTAAGATAAATGAACATTTTGTCACTTTTAAAATCGGATTTGAGGTTCTTTGGGTTTTTTTTTTTTGCATATCTTAACTTAATTGGAACTGGAGCATGTTTGAAATTTTTTTGATGAATCATTTCCTATTAAATATTATGAAAAAGATTTTAGGGAAAGAGAGGTAAATTGTCTATCTTGTGAACACAGACTGGTATCTGTCTTTAAAAGGGCAAAGAATAACCAAAACTTCAGGGTGGACAGTATTCTAATCTTGTTAAAATACACGATAATTATGCTCAATACTTAGAATTAACACTGAAGTGCCTCACTTAACTCTGCTTAAAATTGAATACTGTAAACATTCCAAAAGACAATGAAATGAAAGAATTACCTGATTTGACTGTATGTCGTCCACTGTAACTGTTAGCTTTAGGTAATAATCTACCTCTGATGGGAGCACTAGTATCAGTATTATATCCACTGGAATCAGTACTACTCCATGGTTGGGTGGTTAAATCATCTTTACTACTTAATAAACTACATTTACTAGATCTGGTCAGTAACATAAACAATAATAACACAATATCAATTTGAGGGTAATATCTAACACTTACCAATAGTCAACATTTTTTATTTACTTGAGAAAGTCTATTGCACCCTACTCATTTTGTCATTCTAAATTTTGATGTCTGTGAATTCAAGTAAATTAATCATATGTAATAAAGTACATTCTTTGCCTTAAAATATCAGCTATCTTTATCATTTTCAGACTAAAAATTCAACAGTCCTTTTTCAATCCAACAAAAACTTGTGAAAATAACTGCAAGAGCGAAAATTTATCAGAATGTGACATTTTTACGTTTTTAAGTGCAAGAAAACCTCACATTAAATGTTAATACTGATTGTGCTACAGATAACTGAAATCAAGCTCTATCAGCTGGTAAAGCTAATATTTACAGTTATTTTCTTGTAAGTCCTAAATTAAGACAATTACAGAGTGAAATCTGACATATATATTGTAAATTTTGCCAATAAACTCATCAAATTTATAACTGAGAATTTAAAAAAATAGTAAAAAATAAAACAACAGTTACCATTGTTTATTTACTGTTATATATATGATAAACAACATTCATCTTTAGTTCCGTTCTTTGGGTCTAACGACAGCCCTCTTGAACATTCATCAGACTAACCTTTTGACCTAACTTGATGTCTTCTTTAACCAATCAAATTTCTACCTTACAAAGTGCTGGCATTTTGCGGCACGGTGTTTATCAGGTTAGGTCAAGATGGCCTTAACTAATGTGGCTATATTTAAAATAAGCGCTGAAGCGAAAGTTTGGTCTAAATGTAATTAGACTGTTCATTTCATAAATGCTGATTATTTTGTGCTCACCTTAATGCTATAGTATGTTGTTGTTGCTGTTGTTGGAGTTCATCCTATAAAAGGTCAAAACATAGATCAAATTACCAAAACTTTATTTGATTTCAATAATATTATGATAACTTTCACCTATATAACGCCTTTCCTTTTCCGGACTGATTAGTAGCATTTTAAGACCGATTAGTTCAACAAAGATACAATCTTTGTAGAAAGAAGAACAACAGATAGAAACTTATAGTACTAATTATTGACCCAGGACCACTTAATTTAGTAACATATCAGTTTATCCAATATACTGCCTGTTTCCACCAATCCTTGAAAATCCACTTGCTCATAGAGTCTGCCAGTCACATGCAAATGGTTAATCATATCATTCTCTGTCTAACATTTGTATGAACTGTGTTTTTCTTTATGGGTAATCTTATGATTTATAGCCATGTGTTTATCAAGGGATATGAAATAGTGATATCAGGTGATGACAGGTTTTAGACACAGTTTAAAAGGTATGAGAATTCTTACTTCTCCATTAAATATTCTAGCTTTGTGTTCATCATAGCTCCTTTGTCTTTCTTCTAATGATTTAGCTCTAGTATCACCTAAATTAGGTTTTCTCAATCCTTTACTCTGAAATTAAACACATATTAGGATCAGTGCTTGGCATATATTGAATATACACTTTAAAACATTAAAAGAAACAAAATCCAGTTTAAGCTCCAGTATAACAGAGTATAATTAGCCAGGGCTTTGAACAAGCACTGATTGTAACACATTTTGTCTAGGCTTATTGTTCCATATGAAAGAGTTAATCCCTATAAGGTATCATCTGAACCTATGCTGAGTTCGTCAACAAGTGTTTACATTATTACTGAGGCATCAAATTACAGAATGTTAGGTCTACAATAATAAATACAGAATTACTGCTTAGATTCTAATGTGATTCAATATATAAGAAATTGTTGGACCTTAAGCTTAAGACTGAAAGAAGTAATTCATAACAACAAGTTTATGAAGCAATGTTTAAGACATACAATACAATAAGCTAAAGCAAACCTCTTTTTCATCCATACTAGGTGCTTTTCTTGGTAAAATTTGACGTTTGGGCTGAGATTCACCACCTTTAGTTATATAATCTTCAAAAACTAAATCAGGTCTGTAACCAAATAAAGATTATGGTAATTTTAAGAAATAAAGAGATACAATTATTCAAATGTTAGCCTTTATAGATTAATTTCAGCTACCTATATCACTCTTCAAATATTACCAGATAATATTAGATTGTCACTTCCATAACACTAACAAGACATACACAACATTTTAATCATGAAAAGCTCATGTATAGCTCCACTACAACACATTGGTACTTCTGCATGCTCAATCTCACTTGATGCCACTGACTGACTGAGAATCTCAACTTGACATCTATTTGAGAGCTTATATAGTTACTAACATGAATGATACACTTATTGCAGTACTTACACTCGTGTTTTCTTGGTTTTACTAACAATAACAGATTTACCACGTTGGTCAACATTGTGATCTAAACCGAAAAAAGCAGCTATACGATGTACTACCATTCTATCATATGAAGACATTTCTGGAAGTTGTAAGTACTGATGACTGTAATATAAACAATACTAAATAATCAACATAGGTAAGAGAAACTTTTTCTTTCTGTATTCTCTTATAGGTATACTACCTCTTAGGATGACCAAACAATTTAAACTTTCAAATCAATGGACTTACCTGGTGTCAAGACTATATGACAAAATCCCTCTATAATCCAACAAATCCATAACAAGTAATTTTGAAACATGCTTAGAAACATCTTATATCTAATAGAGATTCTATTTTTTTAATCATTGCACCTTGTAAGTCCATTGATGAAAATATACTCTTAATGACCAACTTTGAGACTTGCAAATTTTATGTCCATAATAAGAGGTAGTGTCTTATTATTAAGTATTTAATCAATTTTCCTTCCAGGTAAGATAGTAGTTTAAAATTTCTGTAAAGGGAGATAAATCAACACAGAGTATCATATTATACCAAACTCTACCGTAACACTATTTTCATACATTACTTACTTAGGTTCTCTGATAAATTTTTTGAAGTCTTTTTCTAACTGCAGTAACATTTTCTTATCTTTAACAGATTTGTTTAAAGTTTTTCTTATAAATTCCACTAAATCTATACCAGTTGAATCTTTATAATTGGAATCTATACTAGAATCTGAAATAGATTTTGCAAGATAGAATTTACTACTTACGAATTTTAAAACAAAACCTAAAAAAAAACATGTTGTTACTCAGAGTTTCATGCTACCGGATCTTCAGACAACTGACCTATATAAATCAGCCTGTGTCTCTATTGAAGTTGGACAAGAAGAACTTATTCTCATGTCTAGACTTCCAGACAAATTGGGGGCATTAATGATGGAAAGCTTTACTACTTAAACAAATACTTTGAATCCAATTCTTGATAACAAAATGATAGCAAAACCCAAAGAGGCTGTCATGTTGCTTTTCTTAGGAAACTAGGAAACCTTGCATTCAAACCAATGGTTCACAAAATTGATTCAATTTTTAGAATGCTAATAACATAAATTTGCAATCGTAAAAGTTTTTGATTACTTCTGAAAACAATAAATTTTAGGTGAAACAAAAATTCAAGCGACAAAAATCTAAACATGGCCCCACAATTTTTGAATATCATTTTCATTATAATGTTTGAGGCTGAAGAGAGGATATCTATTGTTAACTTCACCTCGAGATAGACATGGTGATGTACTGGTATCTGAGCCTTGAGAACCTTGTTTCTCTAGTTTATTTGGTAATAGTAATGTATCATAGCCAGTAGGAGATTCATAAACATAACTTTCATCAATAACATCAGCAGGTGGTGGTGAAGCATCATCTCGTAAAGCTTCTCCCCTAGTCAGCTTCTACAAAGTATCAATACAAGTATTTATCTCTGAAATAAGTCTTTGCTCAAAAACATAAACCCACAGCAAACAATTATATGTGGAAGTTGTGACTAATTTTGATGATGTCTTAGCTACAGTATTTTGGCAAATCATCCAAACTGTGAGCTTTGAAAATGCAGTTGGATTTAAAAAAGCATAAAGCAAAGTAATGTTGATCTCATATCTCATTTGAAATTTGCACATTTTATGTTATCTATTTTAAACAGAACTAGTGCTAATTTAAACTGAGACGAGCTCTTCAGCTAGCTACATAATAATGTTTACTTTAGTTCTTGAGAACTCAAAGTTCCATGTTAGTTCTTGAGAACTTCTCATACAAGCTTAGCCTACTGTATTCATACTTCAGCGATTCAAATAATTTTACTGAAGCTTCCTTATAGTAATGATAGTCTTATAAAAGCTTGGTATGATATAATTATCATTAGAAAATATTATCAATTGATCTACATTTCAAGTTAAAAGATACAAAATATCTAGATCAAAATGTTTAACAGTTTGGATTACTTCTTTTCATATCATAATATAAATAATGATTGTAATAAAATTTATATCAAGACAAGGTGTGTTCACTTTTCAAGGGTACAAGTGACAACAATAAAAATAGACTATTTGGTTGTAACTTCACAGTAACAAATAATGAGACAAGGCCACAGCCCAGAGCTAAACTCTGTGTAACTAACTTATCATATCATTGCTAAAACATTGCCTATTATCATAGACTGTTTATTCAAACAATAAGAACAAATATTGTAGATGACTTACTAAACAAATCATCAGACAATACAATATTTAGAATACTAATATCTAGTCCTTGTTGTACAGTCTTCAACTATATAACTATTACAGTTTAAATTATATGGACATGATAATAGTGGTTGTACTTGACCCTTCTTCAACAGAGGTAGAACATGCATAACACCATCACTTTCTATTTTTCTCAATTTTATTTTATCTAAGTCTTTCAGGTGGGGCTTGGATACCAAGGTATGATAAACACGAAAAAATATCAACCGTAGAACTTAAATTATATCTTAATTGAGTCAAACAATACAAAAAGGAGATTCCTTTGCATTTTAATGAAAAAGGTAATGCTCATTGACTCATGCTCAGGTACAAACAAATATGACAATAAATGTATATACTAAATACCACTAAGATTTCAGCATTAGGTAACTTTTGAGAAATTTTTATATATTTTTCAAAATATCCTTAATAACACAAAAAATGTTAAATCACACCATTTATCAGACTTAATAATATTTCTCTGGATTTCTTTTTATAAAGAATTCAAACAAATTAATATAGACTATTAGGGATTGTAATTGTATGTTTTAAAAAAAAATCACAGATTTCCTCATACTAAGAAAATTTCGTAACTAATAAATCAGAATATTGCCACATAAACACCCACTATTTTCTTATTGTACTAAAATTATTTTAGTTTTATATTCCTTTTTATGGACTTTTTAGTACTTATAGAAGAATTTTAGTATTTATTAATTTCAACAACGGATTGAACTTACAGTACCTAATCAAAGTTTCATGTACAATTTCCCTAAGATTTTATTACTCTTATCTGTTCTCATTTTCCTCTATTAAAATAGAAGTTTATTTCATTTATCCAACGTGAATTATCACTTCTTAAGTCATAAACAATAAAAATATTGTCTGGTCCTAGTGTTAAAAACTTATACATTTTCTTGCTTTAACAAACTAATTAAATCGTGTCATTAAATCATTTAGTCATTTATTTTACAATCAATGACCCAATTTTTTTTTTTTATCTACCAGGTAGGGTGTACTTAAAATCAAAGAGGATTAAGGTCTTGCTTTCACTACTAGTGACATCAGTGTGTTAAAATATAGACCAGATTTCTATCTAGTTTCTAACTGACAAAGAAAAAGGCCATATCTTTTTTTTATATCTGTGACAATGAAGTTGAGTAAACAACATGCAACAAGTCCTAGTCGAAATTGACAAGTTAAAGATAGCTGGTAAGGTAATAACAACAAGATAATCAATAGTTTCTATTGAGCATGTCTTCTCTTAACACAAATTAACTTCTACCATTACCACAATTTACCCTGCATTTCAATACGCTATTCACCATCAAATACAACAGGCAACAATATCAAATATAGGTCTGTAGGTTGAATGAAAAAAAAATCAATAAAGTCTTTTTAGAGACAAATGATAAAAGACAATTTCTACTGTAATACATCATAGTATCATTTCCTATTCTAATTTAACATATTTCATACTGGTATATAGACTATACCTTACAATACAATGTATGTCACTAAGTATAATGGTATTAGATCATTTCTGATTGAATATTATTCATTTGTTTTATCTGTACAAAAAGTCTAATTTAAATTAGACCAAAATTTTGTTTTGATTTTTTTTTTTTTTTTTTTTAAATAAAACCACTTTAGTTAGAGTCTAAAAACCTGGCATATTAGACGTTCCCCAAAATAACCTTCTGACCTAACCCTGTTTAACCAATTGAATTTCTGCTCTCTCCAGCGCTGGCAACTTATGAGAGAGTGAAGGAAATTGATAGGTTAAAGCAGTTGTCATCAGATTATGTCAAAAAGTTACTTTGAAGAATGATTAAGACTCTCCAAAAAAGGCAAGTAAGGCATATTTTGACACCGTGAAAGCATTGAAAGCAAAAACGAAGTTATTTTTAAAAAGAAACCGTCTGCTTTTAGCACTAGCAAACAATTGTACTTGTAACTCGTGTAATCCAAAGGTAGTGACAAGTTTATCTCTACCTACACTGAATACAGAAAATATGGTTACAATTAAAATGAACACTTGAGATAAAGGAATGCATGTCTAGTAACCTTCTTCCTTTGTTTCAATTTTTATGCAGATATGCAGTGTGTAATGAAAATTTGTCAGTACCGGTATAGTGGCATTGACCTTCTGTTATTAAATTTCCAACTGTATCCTGTACAGTCTCTTGCACATTAGGGCCTTTGGATTGTCCCATCAGATTGACTTAACCCTTTTCTACAATCCCTTAAATTCATTATAGTTGGACTTACCAGTTTTAAACTGCCTTTCCTACTCTCAGGGTATTCAACTTTAACAACTGGTACAGAGTCTTCTGGAGAACCATTTTCAGGAGAATCACTAGCAGATTGAATACAGACAGGTATTGCTTCACCTGAAATTATAACAATTGGGTATTCTAAATATATGTAAATTGTTACAGTTTCTGCTATTGACTTTTTATTTCAACCCTATAAATAAACAATCATTGTAGATCCACATAGGAGATGCAGGTAGGCACATTAACCAATAGACCAATTAATTTAGAATCAATTGATGGAGTGTGGTTAGAAGGTGGTAGGAAGGTGGTAGGGAGGTGGTAGGTGAGTGCAATCTGCACAGCCCAGTTAAAGTGACAAAATTCAACTATTACTGAGTAACTTACTAGCTGTTATGGTAGCATCTGATACATCAGAGTTTGGACTAACATTAGGTTCACTGGGACTGGTATGGGATGATTCTTCTACTTCTTCTATCTCAGGTTGTTTTAATAGACTTGGTTTGCCCGCACGACGCATGGGCTCTGTCATTGTCATTTACAGGCCTGAAATAACAATAATTCTTCTAATTAAGCTTATTCCTTGAAAATTAGGTGTGCCACCTAACAAGTCCACAACTCATTTTAGTTTTTCAAATTCAGTTTAAAAGGACAGATGTGCCATTCTTTTTGACCAATCATACTTTAGCCTAAGAAGCAGGAATTTTATAGCTAAGCTAATCAGTAACAGTGTTCTCAACCCCCCATCGAAATTTGAGCTGTCAAATCCATGAGTTTCCAGAAATATCCCCATTAAAACGATGACTCGTCATTTTAAGATACTCTGTGACATATAGGAAAGACATAGAAATAGTGAGTAAAATTCCTAAGTATTTTTTAAAAAAATTATGCCATTTTCAAACATTTCTAGTACTTCTGAAGACTATTTATATATATACAAGACTAAAAATTTTATTAAATCTTATACTAAACCATTTTATAGAGCACACATTTGAACTTGACAGAACTTTGAGAGACATCCAACAGAAAAAAATATAAAATGATTCTTATATCAAATAATAGCGGATGTTATGTTGTACACCTGGTGTTGTTGAACACCTTTAATACACAGTGAATGTCTACTAGCCATTATATTGAAGTGTTGTACAAGGAAGAAAAACC